ATTGTATCGAGATCGATTTTGTTCCCCGTCAATACCGTGTCATGAGGTAGGTTTTTGTTAACATGTGATAAATACTATTCTTAAATTCTTTTCCTCAGCCAAAGACGTTGACACGCCTATAGAGACATTCTTCATACAACGCCATGCTGAGCAAGACAAAGAAGAAAAGCTGAGACGAGAAAAATGGACCGATTTTGCAGAAAATAGTACTCTCCATGGTTTCCATTTCATTTTTACCCGAGCTTCGCCGTGGGTGCGTTTGGTATGGATTTTTTTCTTACTAGGTTTCACCGCCTATGTAATTTTCTCCATATACAGCAGCATCTACAAATATTTTACCTACCCCACTGCTACCGTCATGAATATTTATCATCCGCAAGAGGGTCTGCAGTTTCCTGCAGTTACTTTGTGTCCCATGACAACGTTATCAAAGAGAAGGATTTCTATGAAGGACGAGGAACCATCGTTTAATAAGCTAGGACTAAACATAGCTGCCTGCAATACAACAGCGGCTGTCAGGGCAGGGAGACCATGCGGGGAAGCACTTTTGTGTTGTTGCACAGATTATACTGACAGTGAGATTTCTGTGGTTCTCCCTAACTGCACCGAGGACTACAGGAAAGATCTTCTCGAGGTCATAAAGAAGAAAAAGGATTCATTTAACGACAGGCAATTTCACGAAGCTTATGGTTCTGATATACGCAGAATGATCGTACCGGGAACTTGCCACTACGGATTGTCTGATGAGGGATGCTCCCACAAAGATTTCGATCCCATTGTGACAGACCTCGGGGTTTGCTACTCATTCAACGCGGCGCGGCACGGCGAGCAAATACTGAAAGCGTTTCAGGGCGACACGTTGTCCGGTCTGTCGCTGATACTAGATCTAAATTTGCATGACCACATGGTCGGCTTTTCCTCTGAGGGGATCTGGATCATTGTACACCATCAGGGGGTATACATCAACCCTTGGAATCGTATTCTTGTAGCTCCAGGGACGCGTACGGAAATCAGCGTTAAGCGTAAGGTGGTAAGTACATATATGGTAGCAGGGTCTGGACTGAGTAGCAACGCGCTAAGGGGGCACGACACAAAGTGACAAAATGACGAGATAGCTCCACTGGTAAGAGTCAATGTGGGATGCGGTTGTCTGTAAGGTTTAACTCTTCCATATTATTGAGAGATAGCTACTGTCGAGTCAGCAATATTAAGGCTAACATGAGCGTTGTTTAGACTAACAGTAGTGTCACTTCGTGTCTTGAGCACGCCCGCGTAAAGTAGTGAACGTTATGTCACTATTTAGCTTGCAATTGCAACTCAACCGGATTTGCGCGCTTAGTGAAAATCTGTTCCGTGCCTTAGGGCCTGTTTACAAGGAAGGAGGGTTATCCTAGCAAGCGGGTTAACCCTAGCTGGAGGGCAAAAGATGGCCCGGGTTTACAATCAAAATTTCGCAGGTAGGGTAACCCTACAACCCGGGACGACCTAAATGCGCGGTTACACTCAAAGGGTCTGGAAACAATTGGAAAGTTAACCTGGGTAGGGGAGTTAACCCTACTTGAAGTGTTCACAGGGGAAAAAGTTAACTCGCCTGCCATGGTAGCCCTAGCAGGCAGATGGGGTAAGCCGCTTACTCGGGTAACCCTAGCTGCCTTGTAAAGACGACGAAGAAAACAAGAGGAAATGTGTGACTGCTAGGGTAACCGCTTGCTAGGGTAGCCCTCTCTCCTTGTAAACAGGCCCTTAAACAGAACTTAACCTGACGTTCTCCACAATCACACGACCTTGCACTGGACCGATTTGTGCTGTAAATTTCGGCGGGTCCTCTCCTATGACAAGCTTGGGGATGGTCGTCGGAAAATTTAAAATAAACCTCTAAAGAAGACCAATCTGGTTGTGGGTTGAACAATATTTGACCTCTAACAGATACCACTTAAAACGGAATAGGCTAAATTACAAGCAGCTCAGTGTTCACGAATGGGGCCTGTGTTAGTAGGCCTCGAGGGGGACTCGAGAGACCGACGGAAATCGAACCTAAAAACGGAAATACGAGCATTTATTATTAGTAGTATTCCTTCGAGTGCACCCTAAAAGATGCTTTGACAGCTAAAGATAGTGGCGTTGTACGGGCGCCCCCGACCTTTTCTTACTTGGAGTCTCCCGCCGACCCCGGGTTGTAACTAAAGATTGAATTTAATTTAATTTTAATGAAGGTCAAATAAGACTCCTGTGCGCCTGAGTCTTTTAGCCCCCTAAGGCCTATATTCCGGGACCTAAAATATAAATCCCCTTTACTGTCAATGCTATTCGCTTATACAACCCAATTGAAATGGCAGGATATACTTCAATTCACCTTTTCTACCAATATTTATCGGCCAAAAGTTTCCTTAGACCGATTTTTATTTCCAGTACTTAAAGGGAGGGTTTCACGGTACGGCGCATGCCCGGGGGGTACTCCCTTATATGGCCTCTATAAGTAAGTGCGGCCCTAAAGCATACGGTTTTTCAGCCGTTTTGACCATAAATAGGGTATCGATTATAGTCATTTTGATCATCAACAGCGTCTAGTTTTTGCACTGGTTTTTGCGCATTCTTGGGCAAGTTTTTAGAGGAAGCTACTTTTTTCTTTTTCATTGATAAGACCAGCGTCTGGTTTTTGCACACCCTTGAGCATGTTTTTTTTTTTTTCAGAAGAAGCTACTTTTTCATCATTATCGACAAGACCGATTAACAAAAGCCCTTCACAACAAAAGCCTTTTGCACAGACCCAGTTTTTCATTGTAAGCAAGGGCCTAAGCAAGTTACCTAATTTTGCAAATAGCCGTAAAATCATCAACCATAAGAATTCTTCGAATTCTTCTCGTGTTCTTCCAACATCCCAAGTGGTTTGTCAGCCTATAAACCATAGAAACTTGTGGTCTATTGCTTTTATATAATAATTCGGAAGACACGTGAAATTTCCATGAGTTTACTGGCACAATAAACCATAGCTGATTGACCAATCAGAGCGCGCGTATTGATTTGATTATTATATAAAAAACGATAACATTGATAAGAAGCGAACAAGAGTATTTAATTTTTGATTTAGAGACTTTGGGCCGAACCGTGAAACCATCCCAGTGGTCGCCCCCGGGGTCACAACGTGGAGGTCTGGGTATTGGTGCCTGAGAGCGTATAAATATGGCCGACAGAATGGCGGACACGGAAGACATAAGGACGTCGCTGTTCAGGGCGACGAGAACCTCAACAACTGCACATCGACCAATTTGCCAGGTTTTCTACAAAACCCTCCACAAATTGGGCTTGTCTTTGGAATAATCCACGTTGGGGGTAGCTATTCCTCACTTCGGAACTGTACCAAGACAAGACAGTGCCAAGATTCTTGCTCATATGCATGGTACCAGGTATTGGTAAACTGACGTTCGTTGCCATGGAAGTTGAAGTACATGTAACTCAGGATATCAGAATCAATACTTACTGCAAAATTCGTGATTCACTTAGTACAGAATTTTTATATGAATCACATGAAAAATGGCAATTATGGTTCCCGGTATGATCAATGGGCTTGGCATGCAAACTTTCTTGCCTTTATGTGACAAGTCCATAGAGCATATATTTACAAGGGCATAGCCAGGATTTTTCAAGGGGGAGGGGGGGTCACACTGTGTCAAAGTGAGGGTACTCACCAGATCATCATGGTATTTTTGTCGCCTGTTGTAGGTTGTTTGCTTAGAAAAGGCTTACAAAAGGGGGATCACAGGCACCCCAGGACCCCCTCCCCCCTAGCTACGCCCTTGATTTACATGTACAATAATTGTACGCTGTTGAGGGCTGTGTCTTTATTTTGGTATTCCTGATTGTCGTCTTCCTTGGTACATGTTAGCTTTCGCTAATCAAATTTTTCTCAGTTTTGTTGTTCTAATGACTGACTGAACTGTTTCATTTGGGTACCAATTATTGATTGCATGATGTGTTTATTTGTTTTTTTGTTTTTTTGTCATTTGAAGTATCGAAACAAGAAACCACCATATGAAACAAAGTGTAGTGAAACTATACACCTGGCTGGATATCAAATGTACACTTCTGAAGGATGTTACACAGAGTGCCTGTCGAATGCGACACTGAGAAAATGTGGATGTAGATCACCAAGTGACTCAGGTGAGGAGTTAACAGACCAATCGGCACACAGTTTAAACAACCCTTGTGAGATAACTTTAAGAATTCCTAGGAATTCCTAGGAATTTCCTAAGAATTCCTAGGAAAAAATTCCTAGGAATTCCTAGGAATTTCCTAAGAATTCCTAGGAAAAAATTCCTAGGAATTCCTAGGAATCTAAGGTGTGAATTTTCATGGTAATTCGGACTCGGAATTCCTAGGAATTCCAAGTTTACATAGAGCTGACATGGAATTCCTAGGAATTCCTAGGAATTCCAACTGAAATATACTCACCTTGAAAATTGCTTAAAATTCCCAAAAATTCCTAGGAATTTCTGAGAATAACTTGGAATTTGTAGGATTTTTTGAGAATAGGTTGGAATTTTTTGGAAAATCTGAGAAA